AAGAGCGGTGAAAAAGTCGATGTTTACACTTTTGACAGCTAATGTCATCCAAATTTGGAGTTGATATGCTTCGATTTCATTTTCGTCACGTTTTATATGTTCCAATTGGGTTTGAAGATGTTGTGTAAGCAATTTGCAATGCACATGATTTTTACAGTATTGTGCAACACCATTTATACCTCTTTCGATATTGATGCTCAAATTTTTGTATTCAGAAATATCTTCATGGTAAACTATGGTGTGTGTGTCATATGAAATTCGAGCTTTTGAGAGTCTAACGAAAATTAGTCCTGTTCTATGGTTGCGTTCTTCAAATTCCAGTGTATTGGCCAATTTAATGATTATGACAATGATATTGAGAAAGAATTTCCAGTACATCTGTTAGTCGGAAAAGGAGAGATAAAGATTGGAAAAAATAGAGAAAAAGAATTAGAAATTTGGAATTTGTTCGTTGAAGTGAGTATGGTAGAAATGATTGATCTCAATGTCGTCTAATACAATTATTGGAAGTCTGGATGGGGGTTCATTCTCATGTTCAGCGAAAGATTTCTTAATGAGGTTTTTATGGATTTTTATTCGTTTTCCATTTTTCATTATTTCAACGTAGCTATCATGGGTATCAATTACTCTAAATGGTCGATCATAAACGTTTTGGAATTTGTCTTTTTTCACTTGATTTTTTATTAAGACCAGATCGTCTATTGCAATATCCAATTCTGTGGCATTAGTCAAAACTTCGTTTGTTTAGTATTGTGCCATTTTTTTCGTCGATAAAGCAATTTGTATCGTTTAATGATTTTTCCATTTCTTTTTTTGCTTGTGCTCTTGTTAGTGTGAAACAGTTTTCTTTATTTCCATTGATTTTTAATATTTCGTCAATTGAAAGTGGCTCAATCCTTGATAATGCATCGGCAACTTGATTTTGAGCGCCGGGTCTATGCAAAATTTTGAAATTGTAATCGAGTAATTCGAGTTTTTGTCGAAATAGACGAGAACCGCAATCTTTCATATTGAAGAGATAACACAAAGGACGATGATCTGTAATGAGTACAAAATAGCGTCCATACAAATATGCACGGAATGTACGAATCGCTTCTACCATGGCTAGCAGTTCTTTTTGTATGGTCGAGTATCGTTTTTGTGCTTCGTTTAAGGTTTTGCTGAAGAAATGAATTGGCCTATCATTCGGCAGTTCGCCTTGTGATAACACCGCTCCGATTGCTATATTAGAGGCGTCTGTTGTAACGTAGAAAATTTCTTCGAAATTTGGAAAAGCCAGTGTTACTTCTTCCGCGAGTAGTCTTTTCAATTCGTCGAAAGAATGTTGTTGCATACTTGTCCATACGAAGGGCATTTCTTTTTTCAATAATGAAGTTTAGCTATTCGAGCAAAATTTTTGACATATCTTCGGTAATAGTTGCATATTCCGAGAAAGGATTGAATGTTTTTGACATTCAATGGTCTTGGATAAGTTTTAATTGCATCTATTTTCTTTGGATTAATTTTTATGCCAGATTCGGGAACAACGTGGCCTAAATATTGAAACTCTCGGGCATAAAAATTGCATTTTGAAATTTTTAATTGCAAGTTGTGGTTTTTAAGGCGTTCCATTACTTGCCAGAGTATTTGATCATGTTCTGATTTGGTTTTGGCATAAATAATGATGTCGTCTAAATAGACGTAAACACCATTGCCAATTAATTCCGCGAGTATAGTGTTAATTGCGCGTTGCCATGTAAGAGGAGCTGAATTTAAACCCATTGGCATTCTTACCCAACGATATTGGAAATTATTAACCGTGAAGGCTGTGTAATCTCTACATTCCTCGTCGAGGACAATTTGGTGGAAGGCTCCTTTTATATCGAGGGTAGAAAATAGTTTACAACCGCCCAATCCATCAAGAATGTCGTCGATAAGCGGTATTGGGAAGTTTTGAATTTCGGAATTTTCATTTAACTTTCGGAAATCGACTACGAAACGATGGTCTGTTTTATCACCGTTTGCATCTTTTTTGTCGACAAGAATAGCTGGCGAATTGAAATTTGATTGGCATTTTTCGATAATGCCTTGCTTTTCGTATTCTTCGACAATTCCATTTAAAATTTCTTTTTGTTTATGTGGAATTCTATATTGTCGAATATTTACTGTTTTTGCATTTGGAATTAATTTTATTTTGTGTTTAATTACATTCGTACAGCCGAGGGTATCGCCCTCCATATAAAATTGTTGTGAAAATTCATTGCAAATACTTTTTATATATGTTTTTTCCACATTTGAGCATTGATCAAGTTTTAATTGATTATAAATAGAATATGCGCGAAATTTATTTGTTTTTTGAATATTATAATTTGCGGAATTGTAGAATTGATTCCCGACTGTAGTAGAGATTCTGTGATTGAATTTTACGTGTTTTGAGACAATTTTGCCGTTGTAATTTATTCCCGTGTATTGAGATTTTTCGGATGATGTTTCGTTGTCCACTTGGACATTATTTGTTAAAATTTTGTTGATTGTTTCAGTATTTGATTCATGTTTCTTATCCGTTGTAGTATATACGTTTTTTACTTTTCTTTCATCGAACTGTTTCATTTTCATTGTATAGTAATTCATTGCTCTGTAATATTTTTTGTATTCATTTTCGTTTGTTTCCACTTTGGGAGTATGACTAATTGTATTAAGGAATGCGTCATTAGAATGAAAATCTTCTTCATTATTAAATTCAATGATTTGTATATTATTTACTGATTCATTTTCATTATTCTTCTTAGTTTTTTCTTCGATTGTACTGTTATTTTTTATATCAAGGGAGTGTAAAGATGATAGTGTGTCTTCGTTGTTTTCTTTATCTGAACTATCAGAATCAATTTTTTCAAAGTGTTTTTATTATTGTTTGACCGATTTTCATTATTATTTTGAACGATTTCGTTTAATTGAAGTGTTAAGGATAATTTATCTATATTAATAATGGATTTGTATTGATTTAGAAAATCGAAACCTAAGTAACCATCTCCGGGTCCAGAGTAAGCTCGATCGATAAGATGTAGGGAAGCGCCTAGCATACATCCGTCAATATTTGAAATTCCATGTACAAGACCAGCTGTTTGTACGGAAATATCTTTTCCGACAATGCCAAATAGATTAACTTTGTAATCAAAACGAGGAGTATTAGTAAATATTGCATCGATTGCAACTAAAGTGATTGTGGCGCCCGTGTCAATTAACATTTTAAGTGGTTTTTGTGATAGATTTGTATATAAAAGAATAAATGGTGCGCCATTTTCAATAAGAATTTTTTGGTTTATTTCGTGAATTTGGCTGATTGAAAAATTTTGGAAGTTTCGAATTCGTTCAATGATTGTGTTATTATTTTCGCAAAGTCTGAAATTTATTGAAATCGTTGATTCGGATGATGGAATATACCGGTCATTATATTCCATCGGATCTAGTTTTTTATTTGTTGTTGGTCAATTTCATGTTCGGAATAAGTGTTGAATTGTTGGGAATGGTTTTCCCGAACTTCATGGTTGCAATGCATTATTATTTGATTGACCGTATTGGTTTTGTGTATTTGAATGATTATTTCGGTTATTGTTCCGATTGTTTTGGTTTTGATATTGATTTCGGTTATCGTTTTGATTTTGATAATTGCGATTATTTTGATTTTGGTAGTTGCGATTATTTTGATATTTGGTAGTTGCGATTATCGTTTTGGTAATTCCGATTGTTATTTTGGTTATAATTGTTATTGTTGTTGGAGTAATCGCGATTATTGTTTTGATAATTTTGATTCCAGTTTTGATTGTTATAATTTTGCGATTGATTGTTAAAGTTGTTGTTATTATTTTGACGATTGAAGTTGTTCGAGCTATTAAAATTATTTGAATTATTGTTCCACAATCGTGTCGATTGAAGAGCATTGATTAATTGACCGATGCCGCTTTGATTTTGTTTTTTTCTGCAATCTTTTTCGCGATGACCAATTGTTTTACAATATTTGCAGAACAGTTCACTGCTATGAATATTATTGATGGTTTCATTTTCGGCATCGATTGCGTATGCAATAGAATCTTGGAGAGAATTCGAACCACGAGTAAATAAACGGTCTCGTAGTTTGGCATCAATTATGCCTCTTGCGAAAGCTTTTCGTGCTAAACGATCATAGTCTTCTTTTTGTTCCGGTGTTATAATTTGGTAAGCATTTAATTTTTCGTTTAAACATTGACGAGTTCTTTGTGCATAATCTATCAGAGATTCAGAATTCCCCTGACGAAGATTTTCGAGCGTACTGTTAATTATGCTTTTATTGAGAAGATGTGAAAATTCGTTCAACAAATCTTGTTTGATTTCATTCCAATTTGGGTTATTATAATTAATTATTCTTGCGGCTTCGTTACGAAGTTTTAGGAAAATTGTTTGGATAAATTCGTCTTGTTCGGCATTGTTGGAGATTGAAGCGAACAATGTATCGGAGACGCCGATAAATTCTTGTAAGGTTTTATATGATTCACCTTTGAAAACTGGGATTAATTTCAGGCGTTCAATGAATGATTTTCGCGCCCTTGTTTGGGAATATTCATTTTCGCGAAGTTGACTTAGTGAAGTTTGAACTGGTGGAGCTATTAATTGAAGGTTAGAATAGTTCCGAGCTGGTTCATTTGGGGGTCTAATATTTGATTCATTGTTTGAAACGAGTTGACGAACCTGATCTTTGAGTTTTGAGATTTCATTGGAATGAAGTTTCGATATTTTGTCCAATTCGTTGGCATATGTTCTTTTTATGTCTGTTATGATATTGTCGTAACGATGTTTTTGATCTATTAACATTTGTTCGACCTTAGATGAAACATTTGTGGCGAGATTTGCCGTATTAGGATTTTGAAAAGTGAATTCATCATATAGTGGTTTATATGGGGGTTGGGTTGGTGTTTGGTGTTTGCTTTTTTTATGGCACCACCCGATGCTTGGTTTTGATCATTTTCATAGAGTAATTTTTTTAAACTTTCCAATTCTTCGCGATCTTTTGCCGCTTGTTCTATGTATTTCTTTTTTAAATTATCGGACTCTTTTTCGAATTGGTTTTTTTGAGCAATTAACAGTTTATTTAATGCATCAATTTGTTCATCTGAGTTTTTGTCATTTTTTGCTTTGTCTTCTATATTTTCGTTTGGTTTTAATGGATTTCCAGTGTTTGTACTCATGTTTGAAGGGGTATTGAATAATGATTTTGGTTTAATAGTTGTGGCACGAGGGTCGATTGTAAGTTTTTTGTTTGGAATTACTTTTGGTTTTAATAGTTCGTCGATTTCTTTTAAGCGTTTTGAAATATTTCTTACTGTATCGGGTTGGACGGGAGTTTGGGAATAGGAACGAGTATGGCGAACTTGGCCTTGAACGTCGGCTAATTCGTGTTCTAATTTCTTCTTTTCTAATTTTAATTGTTTATTTTTATCGTCTTTTTCTTTATTGTCTTTATGAGACAGATCAAAATTAATTTTTCTCATGGACGAAAAGATTATAGGTGAACCGAATATGGAAATGAAAATGGTAGGGATTGATGGACGCTCATTGATATAATTATTTGCTCATCATCAAATGAAACCCGTTTTCGTTTTGTCTGATTTGTGAAGGAAAAAACAAAATCGTTCTACTTACATTGATTATATTATTGATATTGAAATTGTTTTCAGCTGCTGATTCCGAGTTGTTTAGTTTTTTGGGAAGTACTGTCCTTTTTGTTTGTCCAAACGATGCCTTTTTCTTTTTTTTCCGTTCACACAATTAGAGTTGAGGTTGAGCACAAAACCCTTTTCTTTATTTCGTTGTTTGATGTTGGATTTTTGTTTTTCATATGATTAGAGTTTGATTTGATGTTGATTATTCAGCTTGGTGTATTTGTATTATTTTTGTTGATATTTCGATGACTTAACGATTTTTTCTTTCGATTTTGTTGTAAATTTTTGTTATTCGTGATTATTGTTCATGTTTAAATTGAATTCACTGTTCAATTTTTTTTGTATATATTTTATGTAGATATTTGTATATTTCACGAGATATTTGTTTTATTTTAAACATTTATGCACGTAGAAAATGATAGAATTTTTTTTTCAATTTTTTGTCTGCAGCGCCAAATATAACCAGATTCACCGACTGGTTATGGTTTTTTCGGGAGTCGTCAAAAATAATATTTGAGTTTGTTGTTTCGCTTTTAAATATTCTTTTATTTGCTGATGTTGATGGTTTGAAAAGTGAAACACGACTGACTAAAAACTAAATTTCTAAATTCCTGCTCTACTTGTCAAAGTTTTGACTTTCCCTAATTAGTTGGCAGAAGAGGGGCAGCGATGCACTTCATTGGTTGATCCGTTTCATTCGCATGTAATCTGTTTCAGTTTTAGATGAGCCGAAAACGTATTTCATGTTTTCAGGTAGCATAGGGTTCGCTTGGGTTTTTACCAGTGAATGAGCTGTGTCGTTGAAGTTGCTTTGCACCGGATGACAGGTCATAAAACATCATACAGTCGACATCCTGGTGCCGACGTTTTATTGCACTGTTTGTTCGGTAGAATGTGCGATCGTCGTTGAGAGATACATGTCAAAGGTTGTTCAAATTGTGAGACGATGAGCGTAATACTGAATCGTCTACA